AGCGAGTTGCCCCCCGTGGGCACAGCCTCGGGTCGCTGTGCGGCCTCTGTCCTGTGGCTGTGCTGTGCTGGGGCCACCCAGGCTAGCCGGCACATGTGCATGGCAGACTCGTGTTGCTGCCACCACAGCCTCTGCCATGCCCACATGCGGCCTGGGAGTCCCAAACCAGGACTCAGGCTCCAGTTCCGCCCTAGACTGTGTGACCTTCGGCCTGTCACTGCCTTCTCTCGTTACCCTGTTTATACCTAGAAGGCCCCACAGCTGCCGCCTGAGACCCTTCGGGTTCTCCTCACCGTCTTCTAGGCCTCTGAAGGAAAGTCTAGTGGGTGGCAGACCACACTTGCTGTGCCCGCCTCCACACCCGCTCTCGTTCACACCCCTGCACGGGGCCTGCTTGCACTGCCTCCAGGATGGGAACTGTGGCTGGATGAGCCCCGGCCAACCACCCAGGTGCCATTTCCAATCTGACTTCTAGAAATCATGTCCCGTGGCCAGGAGCACAGAACTGGTAGCTGGAGCCTCCTGGGAGGGTTCCAACTGTCCAGCTTTGTAAGAAAAGCCCAGAAAGGATCTGCCGACTCCACCCATCTGCCAGGCGCTGTCTGGCGGGCCCTCGCTGCCTGCCTTGGGAGTGGGGTCAGAAGTCTTTCTTCCTCCTACCTGAGAGGCAGCCCCCGGGGCCCGGATACCGTGAGAGCAGCTGCTTGGGTGCCGTCGAGGTTGTGCAGGCGCACACGGTGTTTACGTCTCTCATCGCGCGTGTGTGCGTGTATGTGTGTGCGTGCGTGCCTGTGCTTTTCTCCAAGGGCACGTCAGGGAGCCCCGTGGACGCACGCACATGGCCCACCTGCCTGTGGGTGAGCAGAGGCAGCCCCCGGGGCCCGGATACCGTGAGAGCAGCTGCTTGGGTGCCGTCGAGGTTGTGCAGGCGCACACGGTGTTTACGTCTCTCATCGCGCGTGTGTGCGTGTATGTGTGTGCGTGCGTGCCTGTGCTTTTCTCCAAGGGCACGTCAGGGAGCCCCGTGGACGCACGCACATGGCCCGGCTGCCTGTGGGTGAGCCCTCCTCTGCGTCCCAGGCAGGCCTGGACATCGAGGCCATGGGCCTGTGTCCTGCCCTCCTGAGCCCACAGGGTCAGTCTGTCTTCTACGTGCCTCTCCCTCTGCCCGCCCTCGCAGGGCCCCAGGCTCCAGGGCTCAGGGCAGGGCCCTCATATCCCAGACCACCCAGGGCCCACTGCCCCCTTTCCCCCAGCCCCCTGGCAGCTGAGCCAGGCCCTTAGCAGGCCTCCGAAGGGAAGCGGCCAGGAGCCTGGGTACAGGGTGTAGCTCTCATGGGGCAAAGGGCTGGAACCCCTCACCGGGGCGTGGACATAGTTAAATGTCCAGGGGCAGGGGCTGGGGGTGTGGTGCAGGACTCCAGGGATGGCCCCCTACCCACCTCTGTTTATTCTGTAAACTACAACCTGTAAATAACGTTTAGCATTCCTATTGTAACAAAATTAATTTTTATGAAATAAATTATATTTCCTAGTCTAATTGAAAAAACTCAGGTTGTATTTCCTGCTGTCTTCTTGGCTGTCTTTCTGTCACCAACTTCTCCAAGTTCCATGGAGGCTCTCTGAGCCCTGGAAATGGTCAGGCTCAAGTGCCTCATGTGACAGGAGAAACAGGCCCAGAGTAGTGTCAGGGCCTCCTGCAGTCACACGGCAAGTCAGAGCCCATGCCGGGTCTGGACTCCCGTCCCTGCCCACCTGCCCGTGCTTTCTGCGCAGAAGCATCCTCAGGATCTGCTCAGGAGTTGGTCGTTAAGTGCCCCGGGCTAGGTATGGGGCAGGAGTTGATAAAAAGGAACGTCCTCACTGGCTCGGGCTAAGCAGGCGGTTCCGAACCCTCGCCCGGCACCTGAGAGTACTGTGCAGGTGGAAAGGGAACGCTGCAGGTGGGGTCAGAGATTTTGGACCCAGTTCTCTCCCACCTGCACCGTCGGAGATTCGTGTTTTCTGTGAGATATCGCCAGCAGGTGGCAGTAACGGGTTTTTCAAAAACAATGACACCACCACAGTAAGTGGGTGTTAACTTCCCCACAGATGAGCGTCTTGAAAGGGGCGCCTTTTCCTCTCTCCGCTGGTCTGCTCCGCCCTGTGGACGTCAGGTCTCCGTGCGTGAGCTGAGTCTGGGCCTAGCATTTCCTGGCGTCTGTCACCTGCTCTCCAGTGGATTCTGTGCTCTCAGTTTGCGGTGAGAGTCGTGGAGAGTCAGTGCCCAGTCAGCACATTAAAGGCTCGGAAAAACCCCATGCGAAGCTGGTCTCCCCTTGGTAAGCGGGGTGTCCCAGATCGTTGGGCCATGACACTTCTAACCTCTTCACACCCTGAAGTATGTGGAGCCTACGGCCCTGCCAGCTGACTGGGACCTGTGGCTCCGGGGCTCAGCTGTGGCCTGGATACCTCCAGTGGGCTAGTCTGCCCCTGAAAGTTACCAGGACCAGGGAACGCCTGCATCTGCCCTCCGGGAGCGTGCGGCCTCGGTAGGCACAGTGGCAGGGCACGCTTGCCTACAGACCATGGCGCATACCGCCATCATGGGCTGGGGACTCGGGTACCTGGAGGGGTCCCGTTCAGGGGGGCCTTCCCAGCAGAGATGAGTTTGGAAGAGGATACGTAGGGGAGAAGAGAAAAGGTACAGGCTCAGAGCTATGCTGGTTTCGGAGTTTGCTGTCTGGATCCCAGGAGCCCCTGCCTGGGTGCTGCTTTCCCCGGGCTGCATCTGACAGTCCATGGTGCCCGGCGCAGTCCCTCCATGGGCTGGAGACCAAGGCTGGTCCTCTCCCCAGAAGTCTCTGCTCTGCCAGATGAAACCCAGGGCAGGGTGTGGCTGGCAGGGCTTGGCTGTAGCAGGCCCTTGAGTCGCAACTATTCCCCTACTCGCAGGTGCCCAGGGACAGGGGCCCGGCATGCACACCCATAAACACTGCAATTACCCAAGGCAGGCATGCCGGGCATTCTGCAGCTAAGGAGTGCAGGGGTCACCAGGACCCATTCCACAGACTTCAAGGACAGCCAAAGTGGGTATCCTCAGCTGCTCCAAATCCCCGCCTACCTGATGCCGGAAGCAGGGCCCAAAGGTTTGCCTAGTCTGCACTTGAATACTTCCAGTGAGGGGGAGCTCATTACTACCTAATAGTCATCATAATTGCTGGCAGGCCAGCAGAGGCAGAGTGGTTAAGACAGCTGGATCCCACACAGCCAACTACGTGGCTTGAAAAACACGCCCAGCGCATACGTGGGCATGCCCAAAATGCGGAGAGGAGAATGGAGAAGGGATTGCAGCATGGCCACCCCTTTAGGGAATGTTTTCTCTCCTCCTCTCTCTCCCAGTGAACACATGTGCCCTATAAATTTTAAAATAATAATAGCTGGCACTTATTAAATGCTTACTTATTTTCACTTTAGGGTCTGACTTTACCCTTGGGAGACAACAGAATAAATTTGAGCCTTCTACTCCACGCCAGCTTTCAGAGACTTGAAAACGGCTCTCACGGTCTGCCCTAGAGCTAAATGCTGGGCCCTCGTGTGGCTTGGCTCAGCATCCACATGCCCTCCGTGCTCCCTCAGGGTGCTGAAGGCTCACCTCCATTTCCTCAGCTGCCACAGGGGAATCATGGCGGTACTCGCCTTACAGGGTGTGGGAGGCGTAAAGCCACCCGTGTCTGGGCAGCACAAAGCATAGGGTTTGGCACTAAGGACACTCAGGAAATGGGTGCTCACATCATCCCAGCTCAGCTGCAGGTTTAAGGGAGCAGTCTGCGATGTGCCTGACCCAGGTTTAAACGCCGGTTACGCACACTCCTGGAAACTTGGATGTTCCTACAGTGAGGACGGCAGCCTCTACCCCAACGTAAACGGTCAGAGGGCAACAAGTATTGGTTCTTTTCCATTTTGTCACCATCAGCATGACTAGGAATTATGGGAGCAGCAGGGATGATTACTATCACCTCCTTCATTCTGAGCTCAGTACTTCTATTTATGTAGCCTAAACTTGCCCCATCAGACAAAGATAGAAGGAACATGCTTGCATTTGCAGACACCTGAGATCACAAAGCGCTTTCATGTGTGTCCCACATGTTTTCTTTTCATGTAGCCCGGAAAAGGTCAGTGAGTCACAGGCTAGGGCCAGTCTTCTCCTGACTCCCAGATCAGTGCTCCCGCTCAGCCCGCACAGCCCCTCCTCGGTCTATACTGTTCCTGACATTGGCATGTCCTTGGGCATCCACTAAACACTCAGACCGAGCTCCTCCCTGATTTTCAGAATCAACCCCACTACCACCACTGCTGGAGAAAAGCTGGATGAGGAATTTCCGCCTGGCTCTACAGACGGGGAAACTCAGACCCAAGGGTAACCATCACCTTGTCCCCCTGGGTCAGGACAGGACTCCAGAGCTTCTGGGCCAGTGCAGACAGTTAGCTAGGTTCCGTTTCCGCTCAATACAACCCTGCTTACACTAAACAAGACTTTCACAACTCTAATGTTGGTGAAGGAAGACAGACAATAAACTTGGGGTGTAAAGACAGAATTTTTTTAAAGAATTAATTTATTTATTTTCACATGAGTTTTGTCAGAGAAAGAGAGAGCGAGAGAGAGCAAGCCACCAGGTCCAAGACTCAAACCATGGTCAGCCATGTGGGAATTCCAACACCTTAACCACCATGCCACCTGCTGGCCCCGATAGAATGTATTAAAGCTAATAGCAAAGCAGCATTATGAGCCAGGATAACTGGGAGTCTGGGAGGACCACTCCAGTGCTACTAAAACGGAGACGTGAGAACCAATGCACCAGAGAGAAGGGAAGCTCAGAGGAGTCGGGTGTTCTGTTCTTCCCTGACTCCACCCTGCCCGAGCCGCTTGCTGGTTTCTGCCCGGTGAGTGCCAAATGAAAGTAGCAGCTAAGTGGCGGAGAAGTTAAGCAGAGCTTTGACACCCACTGCAACAGAGAGACAAAAATGGAAGTTGCGGGCCCACCCGGAAGGAGGAGCCCTGGTAAAAAAACCAAGCTTTTAACTAGGATCCTTGAGGGCTACAGCCTAGGAGTAAGAGCAAACAGGAAAAATATCACACCTCAAGAAGACAGAAAACCAGCACTCCTAGTCCCTTATCCAGCTGCTGGCGGGAAGCTAGGTAACTCTGCAACTTTTCATTTGTAATGTTTGGCATTCAGTCAAAAAGTACTAGACATACCAACACATGGGACCAAGAAAAAGACTAGAAACCGCACGTCCGAACATCCAGGTGAGCCTTATTCCGATCATCCGGCTGACATCTAGTGGGCTCAGGGTCCAGCTTTCTCTTACTTTAGGAACCGGATTCCAGCCTCACACTGGACTGGAAACCCTTGTCCTACCCTTGTCCTCACCGACACTATGCCGTCTTCCACACAACTTCTACTATACAGAGGCCAGAGCAGTCCCAGACGCGAACCTCACCCCAGCTGACATCAATTTGACCCTGAAAGTTGAGACCTGATTGACCTCACCTGTCTAGGAGCTAGCAGCTCTGCACCCCATAAAAATGGAAGAGGCCCTCCTACCCGCCTCACATGGGAATGAAATCCTCACACACCTAGACCATTTCTCAGATACACGGATTCCAGAGTCCCAGACAAGAACTCTGTCCTCACTCAGCGTCTGGTTGACCTGAAAATCTCCTGGATCGTTGAAAGAGTCCTGATGCATTTTTGCAGAGAAAAATACGTCATGACTTTTCCGATGACCCAATATATGGGGCTGAAAGTGCGGGTGGAGAAAGAGTGACCAGACAACTGGCCCATTTTGGGGTGAAAGAGAGGCCACTACCAGCTCCCTGGAACTCTAGCAGCCCCTTGGGCGCTGTGAGGGGATCAGACCCCAGGCTCTGTCAGCCAGAGTGCGAGTTGAACAATATAAAAGTCACCACCAGGTGGCAGCTGAAAAATCTACGTGACGAACCAAGAAGGAGCTGAATCCCCAGACCAGAGAAAGTCTGGGAAGCTGGATTCTGTCCTAGGGACCCCCAGACCGTGTTTATCTTCCGGGGAGGTGGGAAGTTACAGGGCCCACGTGTGGGCACCCTCCAGTAGCCTGACTTCAACCTCAAAGGAGTACAAATAAGATTGATATCTGGTGTCTTACCAGAAGCCATGGATTGAGAAACACAATGAGATGACATCTTTAAAGTGCCAAAAGAAAACAACCACCAAACTAGAAGTCTGTACTTCCTGAAAATATCCAGACCAACAGAAACTGAAGGACTCCCTTGCTAACAGACCGACATTGAAAGAAATACCACTGGGAGTTTTTTAGGCTCATACAAATGATTCTAGGAAGGGACAAAATGCAGGAAGGGATGAGGAACAGCAGAAAAGATAAAGATTGAGTAAATAGCAACTAATATCAAGGATAAAAAAGAAAAGTAAGGTCTCTTGCATTTTCCTATAATGTAGAACTAAATTATATGAAAATAGTAACATAAAAGTTGGGGCAAGATAAGTGAAATTTAAGTTTTTGAAGAAACTTGCATCACCTGGGAGAGTGGGAAATGTACCAATTAATATTAGAGTCCAGTAGGTCACGTGTGGGTGAATACAATCCCTGGTGGATATTTAACATATAAAAATGAGAACGAAATCATTTTTAAGGTTGCTCGATTCCAAAAGAGACAACAAAGGAGAAAATGAGAACCACAGACCCCATGCACTTAGGGGGAAAAAGTAGGCGGGTTAAACTCAAATACACTTGTTCACCAATTACTTAAATGTGAATAAAGGCTCTAAGTAAAAGATACGGATAGAATTAATTTTTTTTAAAGTATATACCAGGGTTTGGCAGGTGGTGGTGTGGTTAAGGTGCTGGACTCCCACATAGCTGACTATGGTTCAAGACCCGAACCTCGTGGCTTGCTTTCTCACTTTCCCTCCTTGTCTGTCTCTCTGTGTCTCTCTGGTGAGCACATGTACCCTACAGAAAATTAAACAATAATAATAAAATTAAATATATATTTTAACTGTACATACATACCACTTGGGGCCAGCAGGTGCCATGGTGGTTAAGGTGCTGAATTCTCACATGGCCAATCGTGGTTTGAGTACCAGACCTGGTGGCTTGAAAAATCTCACAAATACATAGATACACTAATTATTTTTTTTTTTAAGTATATACCACTTACAAGAAACACACCTTACAGATAAAGACATCTGATAAAATTAAAATGATGGATAAAAGGAACATGGGCAACCTCATGCAGAATAAAGCTAGTGGAACCCCACCTGGGAGTCTTCAGCTCCTCCAGGTGCTCCTGGAGTCTGAGAGATGCTCAGTTTCCTGATCTAGATGCAGGCGGTTCGGACGTGTTAATCGTGATCGCTCATAGACTCGACACTATGATCTGCTCACTAACCCCTAGGTCGGTTATACTTCCATAAAAAGATGTCAGGTTTTTTTTAAAAAAAAAGAAACAGTAATAAGGATGTGGAAGAGAGCGGGAGGTTGAACTCACAGAAAGAAGAGTTGATGGATCCTTGAAGGCTCCTGAGCAGGTGGGAAGGGGGGAAGGGAATCAGGCGTCAGAGGAGGACCACCTTAGGAAGGAGAGCAACTCAAAACAGGTGCTGTGGGGTAGGGGTGGTGCAGAGAAATGGGGGGATCCCTGACAGCCGGCTTCTGTCTCCTCGGTAAAGGAGGAGTGGGGAGGCAAGGCTGACTTAGGGTGGGCTGTGTTCAGGGCTTGAGGTGAGCAGAGGACGAAGATGGCCTCGCCTGTGGAGAGCGGGGGCCAGGGCATGTGGCAGGACTGCTGGGGAGTCCAGGAGGACCGTCCGGGGCTATAACCCGATGCCAAGTGGACCCCGTGGCCTGCGCTGACTCCAGCGGACTCCTGCGCTCAGGTTTAGGTTTGTCTAGCCAGGGCTGGCCACCAAATCCAAAGAAACAAGGGGCACGGGAGGCTAGGGCACTGAAGGATGTTGTACAGGCATGGACACTGGGGTCTAAGCTGCCTCAGGATGGCAGAACGTCATACCTGACGGACAGAGGGGAGCTGGGAGGGGCATCAAGGGCTGGTCTCCAGGAAGTCCCAAGCTTTCCTAGAAGGAGCCTTTGAACCAATACACGGCAAAGAGGAGTGGTTAGAGCTGGAGTGGGGCATTAAATTAGAATTAGTGCAGTTATGGGTGATATCCTACCTTCCAGAACCCGTGTACCTATCTTAGGGACCGGGTAACCCTGGAAAGAAAGATCCTAGTGAATGATCCCTGCCTGAGAGCACATGCAGTGACAGAGCAGTGCCACAAGATGGCAGCATCAGTCCATGAACCCCATGCAAGGCGTCCTCCCATTCACCAAGCTGACTTCTGCGCTGGGGCTGGAGGTGCAGGGGGTGATTAAAACTGCCTGTGCAAAATACTCAGGCTCTTTCCAATTGTTTAATCCTTGCAGATTAGCAGTCTCTCGGTTAGGGGAAAAGAAGGGAGTTTGAAGGGCTCCAATGTTGAAAGATGGAGCATGTGTGACCCCATCTACCCTAACCACTTTCACTGGACCCCTGGATGAGCTCTGGAGGCAGAAAGGTGACAGTCTGAATCTTGGCTCTGATGGTTACTAGCTGTGCGACCCCGAGCAAGGTGCTAACCTCTCTGTGCCCCAGTTTCCTCAGAAGCACGGGGCTGACAATAGAATCTTCTCACGATGCTGCATGGGGGGTGAAATGTGATGGTTCCCCTGTGGTGGGCGGCAGTGGCAGAGGCAGAAGGGAAGCATAGGGTCCTCGTGGCTCACCTCTAAGATTAACGACAGTCAGTATGTTTATCGGGGACCTACTCTGTGACACAGAGGTCCACAGGGTTGGTGTTATCACATCCTTCACAGAGGAGGACACTGCGGCTTGACTTCCTAGAGACACACAAACAGAATCAGGCCCAGTCTGTTGGACGCCAGAGCCCTGTTCTGGCCATCGAGCCAGGGGTCCTTCGTATGGGACTCCCCACCAGTCCTGACATCACACCCCTGTTCCTCGGGCCAGGAGCGCCAACAGCCAGGTGGCTCTGCCCCACGCCCAGGACCCTTCAGCACACTGCCCAGCCCAGGAGGGACCCGCTGCTTCTGCTGAGGACTGCGAGCTGTGAGCTGTGACACACCAGCCCGGGGGCGTTTCCTTCCTCCTCCATCCCTCTGACTTCCTTCCCTTCCTCTCCCCCTCCCTCCCCTCTGTCTTATCTTCTTCCTCCTGCTCTTTTTCTTCCGGGAGTGTGTTTGGGAGTAAAGGCATCTTCACCACTCACAAACGTCTCCACTGACATTCTCTGACAGTACTCGCACGTGGGTGGTCACCGCCATCAGCTCCACCCTGACCCAATGACCCACGCACCC